CTCTTTCTTCTCTCTCTCTCTCACGCGCTCTCTCTCTCTCTCTCTATGGAGATGATATATCTCTGTGTCTCTCTCTCTCTCTTTCTTTTTTTTCTTTCTTTCTTTCCCTCTCACTCCACTTCTTGCTTTTTAGTTTTTAATAATTAATTTTTTCTTTTTGAGATATTCGTGATCGCATTGGACATTGGACTCCAGCATTCTTTTTAATTTTTCGAAAATGGTTTTTATTTTTGGTCTGTATTATTTTCTCAACCGCCGAGTGCCGACTCAGGGAGTTAAGTTTTATTCGGCAGCGTTTGCCGCTCCTCTACGCGCCTCCATTTGTGCGCTTGACGTAGCCGCGATCCCAGCCCTACGATTTTGATCTGCCAGTTATGAAATTGGATCTAGTGGTCGGCTACGTTTTGTAGCAACGGCTATGGTAGGTAGAGATGGATCTAGTGGTGCGCTGAGATGTAAATTTTCCTACGACTATTTTTTATTAATTCTCCTAATATTTTATATATAGTATTAAATATTAAATATTTTATGTTTGTAACGTATTAAATGTTTATTTTTTATTTAATACTTTGCTTATAAAATAGATCGAGAATTTGTATAAATATTTATAACACAACAATATTCTTATGGAAGAGGTTGATAAATCGATCTAATTAATATAAATTATAATCATTATAATTATAATTTAAAGTTTAAAATAAGTAACAAAAAAATAAATTAGTCCATACTTAAAATATTAGTTTAGAGTTTAATTTTCTTATTTGGTTAGTTTAAAGATTTTTACTGCAACCAAAAAGAAGTTTACAGATTTTCACACTATCAATTAATTAAACATCACTTAAAGAATAACTTTCGTAGTAATTATTACAAAAATCAACGATTATATCATGCATGATCATTTATAATTAAATGATAGTTATAAAATAAAAAAAAGTTTCACCCTCTCTAGGTTTATATACCACTTAACAAACAACAAACTGAGCAAAAATTGAAGGAAAAAAAATGCATTTTGTATCCAATTGGGTGATATTGGATTTGAATTTAAAACCCAAATTTGATAAAATAAAGTGTATTTGAATACATGTTCCCTTCCGTTGAAAGTGAATGATTTGTGAGTAGAATTTTGTTCAAAGTGCATTTGAAAGTAGAAAATCCACAAATCAGACAATATTGAATGCCTAAAGCTAGCCTTACGACATAAGTTTTTTTTTTTTGGGGGGGGGGGGGGGGGGGGGGGGGGCCTTTTTTCTTCTCTTTCTTTTTCTATCTTTATTTTCAATTTCA